ATTCCATCTCTAGTTATCAACTATGAAAACCCGCATTTCTGCCTGCTCTGGATTCTGTCATACGATGAAGGGAAGGGGGTGAACAAAGGGGCTTTATGGCCCTCACTTCCTTCAGCCTACTTCAAAGGGACTGGATGTGGATATCACCAAACGGACTAACAATAACAATGGGGGTCATTAGCTTTCATGTAATCCTTTTGGAAGTCTCCTCCCGGCAATGAGGGAAAGGGGGTGAGAATGTAATGCCTGGGATTGTCGCTGGGAGAAGGGGGTGACGGGGGTGTGACTAATGGGGGATCCCTTAAAACCTTGAATGGGAGAGCTTGGACCCAAGTCCTGTCTAGAACGCCTGCATCCAGCTTTCTCTTAATAAAGATGCCTGTTGGAAGGAGTTCTGTCTTCTTAAGATGCAAAGTGGGGTGGGTCCTTACACTGAGCCTGCAATACTGCATTCTAACCACTGCGCCACCATAGCTAGTAATTCTGATGTTATTAGAGATTTACAATGGGTCCTCTTGGGTGGATAACCATGATTTGTTAATAAAGAGGTTTTAAAAAAGTCTTTATTGGGGGTAGCAATGCTAAGGAAAGGAATTCCACAGGCCAGAAATAAAACAAAAAGCAAAAAACCCAACCCCAGAGAAGGGCTACAGAAGCTTTTTTCACCGGACATCTGAAAGAATTTTAGAGATCTGAGTTCTCTGCCCACCTCGTAGAATTTAACCTTCTTTCAGAATTTCAAACTACCAAGTTGCTTTGCCCGTTACCAAAGGACTCTGATTCATGTTTGCAAGCGTTAATTCACAAGAGGAAGACCGGTACCTGCATTTGATCAGGTTTAATTGTAAAAGGGCTCACGTCTATGCAAATGCATCTCTTATTTTTCGTTCTAAGTTATTCCGCAGATGGTAAGTTGGAAAGCTGCTGGGAACAACACGTCTAAAATGCAATAAGCAGGCAAATAATATTGTGCTACCTCTGCGAATCAGGAGAAAGTAGATGATCTCGATAATAAAATATGAGTTACAGCAGAATGATTCAACTAGGAAGAGCCAGACTGGGAAAATAATTCCAGGGTTGTAAATCTTACCGAGAAACTTTAGACAATATCTGTGTGTGTGTGTGTTTCCCCTCATCAGAGCATTATTATTGCAATTGATTGCAGTAGACCAACTATTCTTTTACAATATCAACAGTATCCGACACGGTGCTAATTAATGAGAAGCTCGCTCTGGGAATCTCTTCCCAGAAGAGATGTTTACTCATGGTTTATTGCCAGGTAACTATGAGTAGGACTACAGGTAGTCCTTGCCTTAAAACAGTTCATTTAGTGACGGTTCAAAGTTACAATGGGACTGAAAAAAAGTGACATGCTCATTTTTCACGCTGCTGACCCATCCCAGCATCACGGGATCAAAATTCGGATGCTGGGCAACTGACTCATATTTATGACGGTCACAGCGTCCCGGGGTATATGTGTGTGTGTGTGTGTGTGTGTGAGACGTGATCGCCTTTTGCGACCTTCCGACAGGCAAAGTCAGTGGGGGAAAGCCAGATTCACTTGGGACTATCTTAGCAACTGCAGTGATTCGTTTAACCACCGCGGCGAGAAATGAGGCAAAACCCACTTAACAAATGTCAATTTGCGGTCGTCAAGTCGAGGACTACCTGGGCAGCCTAAACCTGCCCATCTCAATCAATGCAAGAGCCAGCAACGTGAAGATAAAAAGATATTCAGGAAGCTTTCGGAATTGAATCTCCGAACAGATGTTGACCAAAGATTTACTTGTTGCATTATTCAAAATGACAAGACAGGAAGACGCTGCAGATATTCCACGCAGTTGATCTGTATTAACAACGTACTCACCAGTTCCACATCGGAAGGAACGCTCAATCCCGAAGGGGCGATAAACGGCTCTTCGTTTTCTTCTAGGCTTTCTGCCTTGGCTGCGGCCACTGATAAATCAGAAGAAGGCAACACTGTCAGACAAAGCCTAACAAAACTGAACACGAACAAAACATCGGGTGAGCTTCACTCGTCGCCAGTCTATTTTTTCCCCATCTGCATGTTTCCAGGCTGCACGATAGTGCCAATTTTGTTTCATTACCTCTGTTTATTGGGTTAGCCTGCCTCTGCTGAGGAGCGCAAACATGTTTTGCTAACTTGATTGTGTAACTACTATTGCTTAGGAGACCATGACTACGAGGCGGGATTGAGTCCTTAATGCATCTCGGCAAAATGGATGGCGCAGATGTTTGGTACACGTTCCACCTGAGCGACACCCCAGCGAACATCGCTTGAACAACCCAGAACCAATTAAAAGAAGAGCCTTCGAAGAGGATCCACCAGCGATTCCGAAGTTAAGAGCCATTAGAAGGAGACGGGCCGCGCGGAGGAAGCCCCATCCACCTTGGTTACAGCAATCAGACTGCAGACTTTTCCTTTCTCGCTGCCAAGAAGAAGAATCCTTGATGCATGTATTTACACAGCCAGCTTCTGGTTTTTGAGATAATCTGTACTCTGCCTTGCTAGATTAATTCACAGGAGTAACTAGGGAACTTGCTGGGATAATCACAACATTTCATTCATTAATGTCTTTTCTCTTGATACCTGGGTGGCTACTTTTTATAAATCAACAGCTACAATTCAGCCACTTAAAAAATGGCCAAAACTGTTCAGCTTATATTTTTTTTTTAAAAGCTGGCAGCATTCTCTTTCCCATCCGCCAGTTATCCCAAAATCCTGGAAAATTGGCTGCAATCACACTGCCTAAAAAATTGGTCCATTGTGTATGGAATTCTGACGGGGGAATTCTTGTTTTAGACATTATCTGGATAGACTAGTCCTCAACTTATAACAGTTCATTTAGCGACCGTTCAAAATTACAACGGCACTGGAAAAAGCGACTTATGACAGTTTTTCACACTTAGGACCGTTGTGGCAGCATCCCCATGTGATCAAAATTCAGACACTTGGCAACCGATTCGTATTTAGGACGGTTGCAGTTCCCTCGGGTCATGTGAACAGTTTTCTGACAAGCAAAGTCAATGGGGAAGCCAGATTCACTTAACAACTGTGTTACTAACTTAACAACTGCAGGGATTCCCTTAACATCTGTGGCAAAAAGAGGTCGTAAAATGGCAGCAAAACTCACTTAACGCCTGTCTCACTTAGCAATTCAGAATTTGGGCTGAGGGTCTCATTGGCTGCATGGCATCAGACCCCTGGGTTAAATCCGTCTGCTCTACAAAGAGTTACCTGTAGTAACTTCATAAATTAACTCATTAATTCAAGAAGTGGCATGCTATATCCACTTGATGTAGTAATCCATCACTAGAGGAACTCCGTTAACCTTCAATTTAATTATTTTCCTGTCTTAGATTTTTAAACAACATGCAAGAACTGGGATCCGAAGAAAATATACAAAGCCACATGAGAACACATTATTTTCTCCAGAACGGGGCGGATGCAGCATCGAAAGGACTAGGGGAAGATTAAGGTGGATCTACTTAACAACCAGGGGAGATATCCTGCCCTCGCTGAATGCCAGACAAAGCATACACAACTCTCCGATCTATCCCAGAATCAATGAAGTTGTAAATTCCTTTCTGCAAGTTCCCAGCGGTTAATTATTAATGGCATCCCCCCCCCCCAATTTAATCTGGGAGAGCAATCTCAGAGTTATAATTTTGATACAGGGAAGGGAAGATTCAACACAACCAATGTGAGTGTGCGTGCTTGTGCAACGGGGGATATGTGGGTACAAATTCACGTCTCCCATACAAAGCGAGTCCTAATGGCTCTCAACGATTGTGATGTGCGGTTCGTACGAATGCCGCCTGTGGCAAATCATGTCAGCGGGCTCAAATGTAACCCTAATCTGACAGTGGCACAGAAAGTAGGGTTCTTATACAGTACTGTCTTTTCCTTACCCCAAGTCTGTAGGGACTACAAACCGTAGAGCAGGCAAAGGGATTTAACAATAACTGTCTTATTTTTTCCCCCATTTATTTTTAAACATTTCCTGCAATGCTGTTTTTTCTAATGCCACTGTCACTGGGAAGGAAAAAAACAAAACATGTTTTCAGAGACACTCACAAACAGCTAAGCTCACTTCAGGGGGAGTTGTTTTAATGATCTGTCCTAAGAACATCTGTTTCTCTTCGGCGGCACTGAAACACTCGTGTGATTTGACACTACGGCAAGCCTTACCATTACAAGTCTTAAAAGCATTTTGAGCATCTCAAAGAGCAGCGGGCAAACATCACGCATTAATCATGTAACAGCTACCACACTATCCCTTCTCCCTATACTCCAGCTGGATGGATCTGGGCCACTTAGAAGTGCCGGAGGAAACGGATCATCATGAAACTTTAATTTACCAGCAAAAAGGATAACGTGACACTTGTAAACATGACAGTCTCTGGAGTTCCTTGTAGTATGACTGCCTAAGCCACTGGTGGTGCGTTTTATTTATTTATTCTTCAGCCACGTTGTGCCTGTTGCATTGCACAAAAAAAGGCAACGAGCAACATCAGCTGCAAGGCGGCAAAAATGAATGGAAAAAACTTTGACAGGATGCAGCCTACATCCTGTAAGGCAACCTGAATGTCTCAAACCAGAAAGCTGACGGCCAAGTATTTGAAACAACGAGTAAGAATATTTCAGGGAATCTGAAAAAGAACTGATCCGAATGACTTTCTTTGTTGGTTTTAAAAGGGTCGAGTAAGCTAATACACCTGTTTTACTTACATCCATGCCAGTTGCAAGCTACTTAATATACAGAAACTCTTCCAGCCTCTAAAAAGTACGACATTTGAAAGCCAGCTTGGTCTAGTAGTTAAGGCATTACTTTAGAAATCAGGAAATCACAAGGTCTAGTTCCACTTTAGGCATGAAAAGGGGCTGGGTGACTTTGGGCCAATCACCAGGAGACCGTGATTTCTAGTCTCGCCTTAAGGCATGAAAGCTGGCTGGGTAATATTGAGCCAATCACTAGGAGACAGTGAGTTCTAGTCCTGCCTTAAGGCATGAAAGCTGGCTGGGTGATATTGGGCCAATCACTAGGAGTCAGTGAGTTCTAGTCCTGCCTTAAGGCATGAAAGCTGGCTGGGTAATATTGGGCCAATCACTAGGAGACCGTGAGTTCTAGTCCCGCCTTAAGGCATGAAAGCTGGCTGGGTGATATTGGGCCAATCACTAGGAGACCGTGAGTTCTAGTCCCACCTTAAGGCATGAAAGCTGGCTGGGTGATATTGGGCCAATCACCAGGAGACCGTGAGTTCAAGTCCCGCCTTAAGGCATGAAAGCTGGCTGGGTGATATTGGGCCAATCACTAGGAGACCGTGAGTTCAAGTCCCGCCTTAAGGCATGAAAGCTGGCTGGGTGATATTGGGCCAATCACTAGGAGACAGTGAGTTCTAGTTCCGCCTTAAGGCATGAAAGCTGGCTGGGTGATATTGGGCCAATCACTAGGAGACAGTGAGTTCTAGTCCCATCTTTGGTATGAAAGAGAGTTGAATTGGGGCCAATCATACTCTCTCAGCACAATGACTCACTGTGATCACGCCTGACTGCATAAAGGTACTGGGGTGATTGTAGGTGCAGCTATGTCCACCATCCAGCCTTAATTTACCTTAACACAGTTTTTAACATGCCCAAGTTGGCAGTTATTGAAAGAATCCTTAGGAAAACCAAAGCAAAACTCGTCACTGTTATATGCATTAGACCAGGGGTAGGCAACCTTGGCTCTTTTATGACTCATGGACTCCAACTCCCCGAATACCTGAGCCAGGAATTCTGGGAGTTGAAGTCCATGAGTCATAAAAGAGCCAAGGTTGCCTACCCCTGCATTAGACCAATCACCATAAAACTAAAACACCGCCCATAAGCCTGCAAGTTGCTCTCCGATCTTTTGAACTGAAGCCTTCAAAACTCAACCGAAGGCACAATTCAGATTAGGAATCTGAATTGGGAACCCTGTTTTCAATAACGTTTTTTTTAAGGCAAACTTTACGATTTCTCTGATCTCCTGTCACAAAATGCTAGCGAACTAGGGCACTGACATGGGGACAGAAAAAAAAACATTAGGATCACAATAAAAGAAGTGGGGGGAAAAAAGAATCATAATAAAAAGGCACCGCAAGCATCTCATGTTGTTTTATCACTCGAAAACGCGGTCACAGAAAACCACGGAAGAGATGTTTTGTTTCGTGTGCAGGTGTCCCTGAACTGGGAAACTCAAAGCCTTTCATCAACGGAACTAGAACATCCTAGCCCACCCAGTATGATTTTTCTGAGATCTTTAAAGAAACCAATTTTTTCCCTTACCTTTGGCCTTAAATGGCTGTTCTTCCTCCTCAGTGGGTTCTGATGGATCGTAATAATCACTACTGTAGGTAAATCCCACTGCATTATAGGATCCATCCTCAGCCAAAGCTTCACTCAGTCTCTTGTATTCTTCCTCTTGAAGAAAAAAGCAACACGCAATTAGAAAAATGGTGGAAAAATGTAAATACGGCTAACTTTCTTTCTTTTTTTTAAGAAAAAGAACGACACATATTTCACCCTAGCATTCAAGCACAAACGGTACAGCAAGCTGACCCCGTGGGTCAGTTATGGACAATGGTATTTCTGCCCAACGGCAGAAGATTTGAGCTTTCTTTCTTCTTCTTCTTCTTTTTGGATAGTCTCGGTTTGTATATATATTATATATATATATATATATATTTCTCCCTGCTGAGACAAGCGTGACCGTCATTTCTACTCAAAAACACAGAAGGGAAAAAAAAGAGACAAGAACTTTTCGATGATACAATACTGTTAAAGAAGCACAGTTAAAAGGGCATGCTCAATGCTCAGCCTGCCCTCAAAACGCGGGCAGTTCTGGGTGGCTCTACAAATAAACTATCCTGAGGTCCTCAGCTACGCAAAGACGCCCGTTTTTCGAATCCACTGGGTTACTGTCAAAATAATATCAGAAAGAGTGAGTATATAACGAATGGGAAACAATGATTTTTTTTTTCTTTTAAAAAGTTACATAAGACTTTCTTCAAAGGAGAAAAAAAAACATTTATTTTTTTTTTCAATTCAATGTGTGCTATTCTCAGGAAATTGTCCTAAAGTTTATACCTTGCCTTGCCTCTTCCTCAAGCAAGTCCGTACGCAAGGCTAAATACCTCTCTTCGTCACAGAGAGCTTCGATTCGAGCTTCCTCTTCAGATAATTGGTAATCTCTGTTCCAGGTGGAATATTCGGCGTCATATTCGGAAAGGTCGTGCAAGTGGCCACGCCCATCGTATCTGCAAACAGGAAGAGGAGGGTCAACCAAAGGGACTTCGGGCTCGGCTTCCTGCCAAATCTACCAATACTTACCACCTATAATGCAAAAGAACCATCTAGTGGATTAAATGAGGGACCCGTTAAAACTGACTAAAACTGACCCGCTTCCTTTAACAAGCACACACAAAAAAAAACCAAGCCCCTTTTGGGAGTTATGGGTTACAATTAAAAGCGGACTATCTAACCGGCTAAAGAGGAACCAGCTGCTGCTTTGCGTCCTTACCGTTTGTGGTTCAACCACTTAACGAGCCTAGCCAACATATGTAAGTAACGGCTAGCACAGAGTGGGCTTTTTTTTTTTCTTTGTCTGCAAAGGCAAATTACTTACATTTACACAAACCCAAGTACATAAATACCTATCCGTAAGAACCAAACGGTGGGCAATTCGTCGCTTCTTTCTGCTAGTCTTGAATTCTCAGAAGGAATCTTCACCAAAGAAACTTGGATCCATTGGAGGTAAAATCATGGCTAGGCTCGGCCCCTAGCTATGCGGCTGGGGAAAGAAGTCCTGGGTTATGTGATAGAGAGACACACACATACATAGGAACAGTAACATCGGTGCAATTTAAGGAGGTTCTGTGCAGGAAACGCTCGCCGATCCCCTGAACTACACATCCATCGTTTCGTGCTGGGTGTTTATTTCGTTGGGTCACTATTATATATATATATATATTTTGTAATTGTCGCGGTTTGTAAGCTGCTTAAGCATCTGTGTGGGCTAGTAATTTTTTCTGCATAATCTGCGAAAGGCCGGTAATTAAAAGAGGATTAGGCTAAGACCTAAAATGTTTTTCTTTGTGGCTGGGAAACACGAGAAGGGAGCAGTTGGGTCCATTCCACTATTCTGAGAGGAAAGTGGAATATGAAGTTTGGTTAAAAGGGTCATCGAATGAAAACTAATTAAGTAATTGACTTTACTTATTTTTTCTTTTTTTAAAAAACCAGACTTATGAATAAAAAGGCATTTTCTTCTAAGGTGTCATTATCTCAATGCCATTTTGCTTCCTCAAAAACAAACCATTCCAGAGAGAGCAAGATAAAAAACAAAACAACCCCCGCCGAAAGATTATCAATCAATAATTTAGAGCCAGTTTTCTATATAGTGACTACATCTATCAAACCTCCTTAATTTACAAATGTAAATTAATAAAAGATCGTGAGCATATGCATAGCTTGCTCCTACCATTTTTACAGTTTTCAGCTAACTTTTCCTCTCAGAAATTGTGGAAGAGCGTTGGCCGATATATGCTATTCTTCTGACTGATGACCATGAAGCTGAATTGTCAAATCAATGTTTAATTTGATTCCAGGAAGTAACAAAATGCTGCCACATGCAAGACATATGCCATGTGCTACCGACAGTACATTTTTGTTCTGAATGTTTAAAGAACATTCATGTTAAATGTTTGCCAAAAAATCATTATCAGTGAGTTTTGTAGTTCCCAGTAGGGTTTGGGTTGGGAATTGGGATCTTGTAAACTTACAACGCTTGTGTAAAGCAAAAATGGAAGAAGCAAGCTCTTACAATATGCCACACTCTACTCTTTTCAAACCAAAGCCTTCAAACTCTCTTTGCACTACTCTAGGAGAATTGTGCTAACAACAATGCCATTTCAGTCCCTTTGGCTATCCATTTTTCCCCGCTAAAATGCCAATAGAAACACTTTGATCTTCCAAAACAATGAAATTACAACCAAAGAATCACCTGTCAGTTTTGGCTTTAAATAGCAGGAGTCCCCAAGCATAACAGCATCACAGGAACCATTATCTAAATCCTGTACCATTTTGTGGTAATAAAATGCGTTTCCATGAAGCTACTAATACTATTAAACTAAACAGCTGGAACATCTATCTACAAATCAATGAAAACCAAGGGTTGTTTTTTTTTGCCAGAAGCCATACAAGTGTAGCCAATACACGCCACAACTTCCATCACGCTAAAAGCAGCATTACTGCACTAAGTGAATTAGAGCATTAGGAATTCGGAAACAAAGGTTCTACTTTGTCAAACAAGAAACTCCCTGGAGAATTTTAAAACAGTCACTAAACCTCAGTTTAACCTTCTCTACAGGACCATTACAAAGATTGCTACGATACTACTCTGAAGAGGAAAATAAACGCAACAAAGCAAAGACTCATCAATGAATTCTGGTAGGAAAGGATGAGAATGCAAGATTCACTTGTACAGGCCATTAAGTCGCTTATTGGAAATTCAGGCAGAAAAAAAATGGCCTACAGAAAAAATGTCATACCACATAACAGATTTTAGGATTAATTTACTACCCTAGAGAGTATTTTTTTTGCTAGGATAAACATTCAGAGACACAGATAATCTTCCTTCCATTCATAACAGGAGTCATTGAAGACTTTGGTTTGAAAAGAGGGTACGCCAACCTCAGTTTGTACAGGATCCACTCCTTCAAGGTGGAGGGGCTATAAACAACACAGCAATCTTCTGCCAAGGAGGAAGAGAATATGGGGAGGTGAGGAGGGACATCTAGATTTATCTAGATTAGATAAACCTTGTAGCTTTCTAGATTTCCAAAGCTGGCTTTCTTGGAATCCAAAGGAAACTTTACAAATTTTGTAGGGTTTTTTTTTTTTAAAAAAAAGATGTGTTGTGGCTTGAGCAGCTCAACAAGCAGAATTCAAGGGAAGCTCTTAATCTTTTTTTTATAGCTATTATAGGAGCCATATACACCCAACTTAAGAGAGGCCATGCTGGTCTCTTCCATCAAAAACTAAACCAGCATCACTTTAAAGGTAGCTAAGATTCCATGGTTTAAACCATTCAGTCAAATATGTGAAGGATTTGTTTTACTGAGTGGCCTCAGTATTGAAACCACACCTTTTAAAAATAATGTTGGTTCTTTGGAAGGCTGCTATTATCAAATCAAATTTTCTATATGTGCACCCAAAAAAACAGAAGACTTTTTGGGGAGGACATCTTTACCCTGGCATCTGTCATAAACAAACTGTCATAGGTAAGCATAGTCCAATACATGATTTCAGAAAGCTACTCAGAAGCTGTATTTGCAGATATTTAAAAAAAAATGTTGAAAGGTGACTTAGCACTTCCACTAATAAGTTTTTTTAAGGTTACAGTATATTGTGTTTATGCCCTTATATTACAACCAAGTGATGGCAAGTTTTGTTATTCACCAAGAACATGCAGTAACTTGCAGCACAGCTTTCCCAACAGCTGGAATTATATAATTAGACTGTTTATTCAAAAACAGAGTGTCCAATATTATGTGGTTGCAAGAACCTAATATGCAAAAAAAACTTTTTACTAGTAATCTTGGGAACTCCCTCTACAATAAGACTAACAGCTGAATGGAAACAACAAAATTCAAAACACCGTATTGGAATTATGGGGCCTAGGCAGCCATCTCCAACCTGGACAGATGGGCCAATGGGAGCTGTAGTCCGACATGCCGAGATCACCAGGGAGGTGGAAACAGATGATAGGAGTTCTAATTCAGGCCATTACAGGTATTTAATATGTTAAACCTATAGATTATGAGATTTATATGGAAGTACTCATTTACCGTAGAGCATTGATGCTGGATGGGGATGCTGGATGGGGATTGTAGTCCAGCATATCCAAAAAACAGCAAAGGACAGGGATGGGAGCTGTAGTCCAGCCTGTCTGAAATCAGCCAGGGAAGAACAGATGGGGATGGGAGCTGTAGTCCAGCCTGTCTGAAATTTGCCAGGGAAGACTGATGGGGATGGGAGCTGTAGTCCAGCCTGTCTGAAATCAGCCAGGGAACACAGATGGGGATGGGAGATGTAGTGCAGCCTGTCTGAAATCAGCTAAGGAAGGCAGATGGGGATGGGAGCTGTAGTCCAGCCTGTCTGAAATCAGCCAGGGAAGACAGATGATGGGGATGGGAGCTGTAGTCCAGCCTGTCTGAAATCAACTAGGGAAGGCAGATGGGGATGGGAGATGTAGTCCAGCCAGGGAAGACAGATGGGAGTTGTAGTCCAGCCTGTCTGAAATCAGCCAGAGCTGCTAGACAAAAGATGGGAGCTGTAATCCAGTCTCGTGAAAGCAGCCAGGGAAACCAGACAGAGATATATGGGGACTGTAGTCCAGCCCTGGCAGGAGGAGGAGGAGGAGAAGGCGGCAGGGACCAGAGGGCCGCCTTTCCTCGCCTGGGCCCTGCCCTCCCGCCTCCTGCTTGGCAGAGGATCACCGGCAGCCCCCCCTCACCTTCCCACCCTCCCCCCAGCCCCACCCGGGCCACAAGGAGGCCGAGGACCGTCAGGAGGAGGAGGAGGAGAAGAAGAAGCAGCACAACGACAGCAGCGACAGTCGGGCGGGGGGGTTGCTGGGCACCGACCTATCGATCATGATGGAGGCGTCGCCCATCCAGGGGATCAGCTGGCGGCCTTGCTCCTGCTTCAGCGCCTTCTCGTCGTCGCGGAACAGCTTGCAGGCGTAGCCGAAGACCAGCAGCTCCACGCGGCCGCCCACGCCGCCGCTCCCGCCTTCGCCGCCGCTCCCGCTCGGCCCGCCAGCCGAGGCCGCCGCCGCTGACGGGAGAGGTCCCACGGAGCCCAGCGTCCGCCCGGCAGGCGCCGCCGCCGCCGCGGCCTCCGCCCCGCTCGGCCGCCCGGCGTACATGGCCCGAAGAAGTCGCCGCTGGAGAGCCGGAAAAAGGAGAAGGAAGAGCCGCCTCGCCGCCTCACCGCGACCCCGCGCCCGGCAGTCGCCGCTGAGGCCTCCCTGACGCCGCCATCGGCCGCGAGAAAATGGCGGACGACGCCCACTTCCGGTCCGAGGCTTGGGGAACGCCCGGAAGTGTTTCCGCGGACCGCAGGCTCGAAAGACCTCCTCGGCCGATTCGTCACGGGGAAAAAAAAAAAGTCCGAACGGCGCGCCGAGCGTTTGAGGAAGGGCGAGGCAAAGGGTGGGTGGGTGGCTGGGTTTTCTTATAGAGACGAAGATGGGAACTAATTTAGGGTTAAAAAAGTACGCCGCGGTTAGTGGCGGCGAAAGTGCGACCCCGAATGGGAAGTCCCAGGAGGAGCGAGGAAAGGAAGGGGGCGGGGTTTCAGTGAAGGGAGGGGGAGGAGGAGGAGGAGCATCAAAGGACTTCTTGCTTTGCAATCAGATTAAAAATTGCTGATTGTATAATAGACAGACAGATAGATATTAGATAGATATGACAGACAGACAGACAGACAGACAGAGCAGATAGATAGATAGATAGATAGATAGATAGATAGATAGATAGATAGATAGATAGATAGATAGATAGATAGATAGATAGATAGATAGATAGATAGATAGATAGATGTGGTACATGGATAGATAGATAGATAGATAGATAGATAGATAGATAGATGGATGGATGGATGGATGGATGGATGGATGGATGGATGGATGGATATTGATGGATGGATAATGATGGATAGATATAGAGATAGAGGTGGTACATGGATAGATAGATAGATAGATAGATAGATAGACAGACAGACAGACAGACAGACAGATATGATAGACATAGAGAGATAGAGATAGACAGACAGACACAGATAGATAGATAGATAGATAGATAGATAGATAGATAGATAGATAGATAGATAGATGATAGATAGATAGATAGATAGATAGATAGATAGATGTGGTACATGGATAGATAGATAGATAGATAGATAGATAGATAGATAGATAGATAGATAGATAGATAGATAGATAGATAGATAGATAGATAGATAGATGGATGGATGGATGGATGGATGGATGGATGGATGGATGCATGGATGGATATTGATGGATGGATAATGATGGATAGATATAGAGATAGAGGTGGTACATGGATAGATAGATAGATAGATAGATAGATAGATAGATAGATAGATAGATAGATAGATAGATAGACAGATAGATATGATAGATATGATAGACATAGAGAGATAGAGATAGACAGACAGACACAGATAGATAGATAGATAGATAGATAGATAGATAGATAGATAGATAGATAGATAGATAGATAGATAGATAGATAGATATGAATGGAGATAGAGATGATAGATGAATAGATAGATGGATGATGGATGGATAGATATAGATAGATATGATAGAGATTTAGAGACAGACAGACAGATAGATAGATAGATAAATTTTATTGTCATTTTTTTACTGTGGGCACAATGGCACACATTAAAAATGAAATGTAGTTGCTTGCTCTTATTTTGATTATTATTTTGATTGTTATTATTATTGTTATTATTGATCATCGCACAGTCAGCCAGATGTTCAGACAGGATTTGGCATTTTTGTCTACCTATCGAGTCCTTACCAAGGCAGATGTGGATGTTTGAATTGATGGTGTTACAGATCTCGTCGCAGGATGGAAGCTGTTTGCAACTGACTGATGGCGAATTTGTCAATGCCAATGGTGTTCAAGTGGTGCTCTAGTTGTTTTCGGATTGCACCCAGGGCGCCTATTACTATTGGTTCCACCCTTGCTTGCTTTTGCCACAGTCGTTCTATTTGTAGGTCTTTGTATTTTGTTATCTTCTCCAGTTCTTTCTCTTCTATTCTGCTATCTCCAGGTACTGCCACATCCACTATACAGACTTTTTTTGTTTTTCTTATCGACAATTGTTAAGTCCGGGGTGCTATGTGGCAGGTGTTTGTCTATTTGAATTCTAAAGTCCCAGAACAATTTAACCTCCTCCTCTTCTTCTTCTTCTTCTTCTTCTTCTTCTTCTTCTTCTTCTTCTTCTTCTTCTTCTTCTTCTTCTTCTTCTTCTTCTTCTTCTTCTTCTTCTTCTTCTTCTTCTTCTTCTTCTTCTTCTTCTTCTTCTTCTTCTTCTTCTTCTTCTTCTTCTTCTTCTTCTTCTTCTTCTTCTTCTTCTTCTTCTTCTTCTTGCTTTGGAAAAAAGAAAAAAAGAAAGAGGATGTTTTGGGGAAGAGCGGGAAAACAGGATAAATTCTACCTCGTCGCCTAATTGAAATAAAAATAATTGGTTGAATCACTGCAGCTTTATACTGCATTGGTGAGGCCACACTTGAAATACTGTGTCCTGTTCTGGTACCTTGCTCAATAGTAGTAACTGTGAGAGGGACCTCAGAGTCCAAGTGGACAATCCCTTAGATAGGAGCCAGCCGTGTGCTGCAGCTGCCAAAAAGGCCAACACAGTGCTGGGCTGCATTAACAGAGGGATAGAATCAAGATCACATAAAGTGTTAATACCACTTTACAATGCCTTGGTAAGGCCACACTTGGAATATGGCATCCAGTTTTGGTCACCACGATGTAAAAAAGATGCTGAGACTCTAGAAAAGAGTGCAGAGAAGAGCAACAAAGATGATCAGGGGACTGGCGACTAAAGCATATAAGGAACGGCTGCTGGAATAGGGGATGTCTAGTTTAATGAAGAGAAGGACGAGGGGGGGACATGATAGCAGTGTTCCAATATCTCAGGGGCTGCCACAAAGGAGAGGGAGACAAGCTATTCTCCAAAGCGCCTGAAGGCAGGACAAGAAGCAACTGGTGGAAACTAATCAAGGAGAGAAGCAACCTAGAACTAAGGAGAAACTTCCCGACAGTTAGAACAATTAACCAGTGGAACAACCTGCCTCCAGAAGCGGTGAATGCTCCAACACTTGAAGTTTTTAAGAAGAGACTGGACAGCCATTTGTCTGAAATGGTATAGGGTTTCCTGCCTGAGCAGGGGGTTGGACTAGATGACCTCCAAGGTCCCTTCCAACTTTATTATTATTATTATTATTATTATTATTATTATTATTATTATTATTATTATTATTATTA